CACGAGGAGACTGAGCAACTACTATCATTTTTTCTGCGTCATCACAGTCTCCATCAGCACAACCTATGCGCTAACAGTGGCTGATCATTTCAGTGTCTTAAAGCAACATAAAATTCACAAACCTTAATAAATTAGGTTAGGGATAGTAACACTTTTAGGTTTACGGACTAACAACAAGTTACTGAATTTGTTGAACACCGCACAATTTTATTATCCTTATACTAAGAAATAGCGTACCAACATCTTAAAACATATCTGTAGAGTGAGGCCAATTAAGATCAAACTTAAAAGATTTGCTACTAGCATCCAAATAAACGATCTTATTTGTTATGTACTATCTCATCTAACATGCAAGCTCCTTAGTATTCTTAAAACAATTAGTCCCTTTGATAAATTTGAACAAGGCATTAAGAAGACAAATTTCGCGAGATGATATCATTTCATAGTTTCTTTACAACCGCTTTACAACTAACATGGTTAACAATGATAAAATAAAGTTCATGAAAATTACTCAGTTAAATAAAAACAAAAGTACATACTAATGACCAATCATATTAAGATAGGTCATGCAGTCCAGGGTAGGCGAAGATTGAAGTCTATTGAGTTTTGTACACACAGTTTAGGCTGTATGTGATTAATCCAAAGTGCTTCCATCACCTTCAATAACCTTGAATTAGAGTTATGTGAAATAATTGTGAAACAGTCATTAATATTTATTTTGTGACCAGACATTAATAAGTGTTTTGCAATGGATGATGCTGGATTTCTATTAAGATTAATCGCGTTAGTATTCCTTAAAACTGTAACACGACAATCATTCTGTTTCCGCCAAGGTAGATTTTAACTAAGAAGATTGGGCGTTACAATCTTTGTATTCCCTTAAGTTGACGTCTGCAAGCATAAATTGCATTCTAATAGACCGTTCAAGATTTTACAGTGAATTCGTTCAAACATGTTTCACTCAACCATCAACCTTAAAAGCATTACACTCTAAAATCTGAAAAGTATACAAAAAACTAACACATCGAATGTCGTATACAAAGTGTAATATAAGATTATAAGTTTCCAGACCGTAGGTGTTACGAACTTCCTGGAATAATTTGAGCGCCGGGTCAGATTGATTCATTATAAATTATTTAAATTAATCCCAGCGTGTTAAGAAAATCAAAACAAGATTTTTCTGAACGTTTCACCGTGTCAGCCACAGCTTCTTCAGCAGATTTATTCGGATTATAATTAATCATCAAAATATATAGTCAAAAATTTTTTTACAGAAAATGAAGTCAGTTTATTTGAAGGTCATTTCTCCATGAACATTTTTTTACCAATAGAAGTATGTAAGCTGTCCTCACATATATTTGTAATGACTAATGTCAAATTGTTGTTGTGTTTACTCTTCTATAGTTGACTTGTAAAGATTAGATTTGTATGCGTGTGTGTGTGTGTGTAGTGATATTTGTCATATGGAAAATACGTGAATTCAGATATGATAGAGAAGATTTGTAGCTCAGGTGGATGATTTTGATGTGGTTTTGTTCTCTGAGCTGGATGGTTCATGGTTCACGTGAATTCATATGTGATAAGCGTGCCACTACATGTTTTTAAGGTCATGGAGGCTCATGTAGTGACACGTTTATCACATATGATAGCGTTATTAGAAGACGGAGACTATCTGAAAAATGTGATGTATTAGCGCTATACATTCCGAACAATCTGATCACACATTTACTTGTCAAGTCAATATATATAGAAAGGTTAAATTAAACAAAGTGAGAGAAAACGGAATTAAGAATAATTAACACAAACGTTTGGTAATCCAATCAAATAAGGATTACCAAGGTAGGTTAAGAGTAATGACAAACTGTTTTTGAATACACAAGGGGGGCTTAAGTCTATGAATAGCTATAGCCTCAGCGTATTTCAGTAAACGCCCTTGACCGTTTTTATAGATGACCTTAAAGGCTGAGTTAACATCAATCTTATGGTTCATCTCGATTAGATGTTTAGCTATAGACGAATTTGGTAGTCTGCCACCTGCATCTATTAGCTTGTCACAATTCATCTGTTTTTCTAACCATTTTGGGATATGCTCTCCCACCCTCACGTGCAAAGCGCGATTACTCCTCCCTATGTATGTATGTCCACACACACACGAAAATTGGTAAATTGTATGGGATGTGATATAATCACTTGTGCACTTTTGGGGTTTACAGTGAAGCATATTTTTGGCTTTTTCCACAATTACAAGCTGGGCTGCATAGTAGGTTTTACGGATGATTGAATTCAACCTTTGTCTCACAATCCTACTGTTTATTTCCCCGTTATATGGTAATTTGATAAAAACCTTTTTCTTAGGGACGGTATGGATTGTAGGTTTAGAGGCTAGTTGACTTCTACACCTGTTTAAAAATTTCAAAGGATATCCGTTTTCAACAAGAGTATCCATTAATATTTCGTTTTCTCTGTCCATAACATCAGCCGTGCAAATACGCTGAATCCTCTTGAATAGACACTTCACCAAGCCCCTCTTATACTGTAATGGACAGAAGCTGTGAAAATTAAGGTATTGCCCTGTCCAAGTGGGCTTTCTGTAGATAGACCGTCTTATTGAGCCATCATCTCTTCGACTCAGAAGTATGTCTAAAAATGCTAGCTGGTTGCGACTTTCTTCCTCACATGTAAGACTAATATGATTTTGTACAGAGTTAAGTCTGTCTAATAGGCGACTCGCATCTTCATGATCGTCACATATCAAAATGATATCATCTACATATCTCCTATAAAAGGGCAATTTTGAAATTAAATCAAGGGATAAGTTTTCAACATAAGACATGTACACGTCCGCTAACAAAGGTCCTAATGGACTCCCCATAGCAACGCCATCCACTTGTCGAAAATGTTCGCCTTCAAACGTGAAATGGACGTTGTCAGTACATAATAATAATAAATCTTTCAAATAAGTTAAAGGGAAAGGGAATGAAAAACAACTAGAAGAAATATAGTCACAAAGAATATCAACAGTCTTAATCAATGGTACATTAGTAAACAAAGAATTAACATCAAATGAATACATTTTCCTATCTTTTATGTTCATATCTACAAGACAGTCAACAAGTTCAAATGTATCTTTCAAAGTAAACTTACATAATTCATTGCGTACTGGGCTTAAAATATCAGCTAACCATTTTGCTAGTTTATGTGTAGGAGAGTTACACATTGAAAGAATTGGACGTAATGGATTGTCAACCTTATGAATTTTAGGTAGTCCATAGAGGTTTGGAAAATCAGATCCCATGGGTTTCAAGGAGTTAAACTCCTGTTTATCGATAACGTTCATGCCACGAAGTTTTACTAAATGAGAATTTACTTTTCCTTCCAATTTTCTGATATCATCCGAAGGAACATCGGCTATAAATTTATTTTCGTCATTAAGGATGGATAACATTTTTGTTTTATAATCATTTCTGTCCATTACAACTACACCAGATCCTTTGTCAGGTTTCAGAATAACTATATCGGATCTATTACGTAATTCCTTTAGGGCTTTAAAATGGGTTGATGTTAAAATGCTTCTCTGTTTTCGACTTGAATTACGGAATTGGTGTGCAACATCAACAAATTTAACTTTCAACCAACTTTGGTCATCTGTCGAGGAAGGAGTTAGAGAACTCAACTGATCATACAAATTTTCAAACTGAGAATCAATTGCTAAGTCCGAAATATTGTTTAATGGGATAGAAAAATTGAAACCAAGTGATAACACCTCCTTTTCATGTAATAAAAGTTCAACCGATGACAGATTTGTCACATACTTATCAGGATTTAATGGGAATTGGTTTAATTCAAAGTCAGAGGTACCGGATCCAAGCAGTTTCAATCTAGTATTCTCTTTCGTCTTATTAACGGCAGAGCTACAAAAATTAGTGAACTTGATTTGGCAGATTATGGAAATATCAGACAATATATTTGATGATGATAAATGGAGTTCAATCAATCCACATAACTTCTCATTAGAACTGTCAATGTGAGATTTCGTAAGGCGAATGAGATTTGAAATATTTGGTTTCGCCTTACGAAATCTCACATTGACAGTTCTAATGAGAAGTTATGTGGATTGATTGAACACCATTTATCATCATCAAATATATTGTCTGATATAATGGTTAGAAAACCAGATGAATTGTGACAAGCTAATAGGTGCAGGTGGCAGACTACCAAATTCGTCTATAGCTAAACATCTAATCGAGATGAACCATAAGATTGATGTTAACTCAGCCCTTAAGGTCATCTATAAAAACGGTCAAGGGCGTTTACTGAAATACGCTGAGGCTATAGCTATTCATAGACTTAAGCCCCCCTTGTGTGTTCAAAAACAGTTTGTCATTACTCTTAACCTACCTTGGTAATCCTTATTTGATTGGATTACCAAACGTTTGTGTTAATTATCCTTAATTCGGTTTTCTCTCACTTTGTTTAATTTAACCTTTCTATATATATTGACTTGACAAGTAAATGTGTGATCAGATTGTTCGGAATGTATAGCGCTAATACATCACATTTTTCAGATAGTCTCCGTCTTCTAATAACGCTATCATATGTGATAAACGTGTCACTACATGAGCCTCCATGACCTTAAAAACATGTAGTGGCACGCTTATCACATATGAATTCACGTGAACCATGAACCATCCAGCTCAGAGAACAAAACCACATCAAAATCATCCACCTGAGCTACAAATCTTCTCTATCATATCTGAATTCACGTATTTTCCATATATATATATATATATATATTCAGGTACACTCTCGTTTACCATTGTTTATTTTTTTGCTTTCCTTTTGACATCTGTATGTGTTGTTCTCATTATTTTATGCGTGTGTTTCAAAATCTTTTATCGTACTTTCTCACTACGCAATCTTTATAAACCAATCATAGAAAATTCAAATATGACTCAATAGGAATGCAGTTTATCCATATTTTTAAATGTTTTCTTCTGTAGATCATCGCCATAGCGAATATATTTTGCATTTGCTAAAGAATTCTACTCTTTCTGACCGATACACGCTCCTGAGGTAAGTTTCATAAATAAAATTTTTTTTAAACAAAACATTTTTAAAATGGTATTAGCTTAAAAAAGCCTTCTGTCGAAATCATAGTAGACAAATATTCTATGGGTTACGTTAATTATTATTATTATTATTATTATTATTATTATTATTATTATTATTATTATTATTATTAGACACAAACTTGGTACATTAAGGGCACTAAGAGATGTGTCACACAAAATCATAGTTTTTGTGAGGGTCGATATACTAACTGGACTCCCAGACCGAAGCCACTGGTTGCATTGAAGGGTTAGCCCCGCTGAAGTCTGACCCAAAAGGCAGTGAAGCAGTGTCACGAGCTACGTTCGCATGGTTGCTGGTGACTAAAATAGGTTCATATGACATACGACCCTTCTGGATTCTGTAGTCCATGAACACCATGTGTTTCTAATCAGTGTTTTCTGCATCCCCTAAGTAGACCATCATGTTCACTAATCTGAGTGTAAACGCCAGATGTTGACACTCGTCCATTCACTTATATAAGTAATACCCTCGCTATTTCACTGAAGTGAATAAGACTTATTTGTCAGAAGCTATGAAAGCTTGGACACCTTAGTACATGTCGAGAAAGAGACTGAAGTCTACCCGCCCTACCTTACCAGTTCCTTTATAGGAGCATGGGCTATGTTTAATGGAAGTTGAATATGTATCAAAAGTTAGTTCTTCATAAGGCTTTGCTCTTTTATTTGTCAACTGAATCAGCTAAAATGTCAGATTTGTTGTTGGGTTTAATTGAACAGTATCAAACCACATGGTAATTCCACCACATTTTTCTCTCCGAATATATTCATGGATCAACACAACTTGATCATTAATGACTTTGAAGTACGTTAATTGTGTAAATGATTCTGATGTTATGTATAGCGTTAGTTAAATAATATAAATTAGAATGATTGTAAACTTTCATGTGTTCCAATTTCAGAATCCTCTACACACCATAATGTTTGTAATTCATGTCTTATAATGATAAAATCACAGAATCTGTGGTTGTAGATATTAATATTTTCACTGTTTTGTCACTTATTTTTTGTTGATTGTAAATAGAATACTTAATGTATAATAAGAAGATAGTAAGGTTGATTTGAAGTAGATTAGGGTTACGTTAAAGAAAGATTAAGGTGAGGATTAAAAGACCAAATCTACTTTACAGCGCTATGCCTCTTTCCAAGGTCAGTTGTGAGTTTGCGCCTTTTCGGTGCCTAAAGTTTAATTTCGCCTCAAATCGAATGACATGAAAAATGGTGACTCTAATTTTCTCGATTATTTGGTTGTTGTCCGTAGTAAGATGTGATTAAAGGTAGTAGAATGTAAGTTTCAGATGCAAAGGGAGATCTTTGCTGCATTGCCTGGAACAATTGTAATGTGTGGAAACAGTGTCATTTGAAACAGTAATGTCAAATAATGGCAAGCACTCTAAATATTTTGACGTATGAAAATGTGACTGAACGCAAACGACATTCTGCTTCGCTATTCAGATGCACGGCATTCCAAACACTAGTTCACTCACAATCCCATGTCCTTTGAATAACTTAGCAAAACGCCGGTTACTTTCAGTCTGGAAAATTTGATAGTATGGAAAGGATGCATGACTGTAGTGTGTGAGTCACTACTATTGATACTGCTGAAAATGATATGACCTATGCATAATTCAACCATGTTATCACATCAAATTATGGAAATTATGGAGTATTTGAGATGATTGCAGTATGTACAAAGATATGGGGAGAAGAGATTTAGGACAAAGAACATGTCGATTTAAACAAATTAAAACATGCAAACCGTCAAAAGAAAACTGTCAATCTTAACGGTAAACTAATAAAGGAAAAAGAAAAACTAGTTGATGCAATGACACATCCATCACCTTGAATCTTGTAGTATCATCTTTCTAAATAACTTGATTTTAAGTGAATATTCGCACTCACCAACTAGTTAGTGTACTACATTTTGATGTTGTATACTTCTAAGAGGTTTATTTTAACTTTGAATATTTATAAACTATGTGATCGATAATTTCTACTCAGCGTCAGAATTGTTTCCTCTCATTTATCACTATTTGTGATAGTGATTTTTATAAACGGTAATTAACTAGCTCATTTGTTTCTTTTTCTTATACACGTGTTTACACTTCTCTTATACAATTTTCCTTGCCAATATCTGGAAGTAAATTATGTTTATTGGAATGTGAATGGCCTACGGATTCATACCCTGTGTTAGAATTCCTCTTCAGTACGGTATGTTCTTTGCAGATATATAGAAATAGATTTATATGTATTCATGTTTTCAAATTCATTATGGTTCATCGATATGATTAATACCAAAGGGACCTTAAATAGTAATCGACTTAAAGATTTATGAGTACTGGTCTATAAATCAGCCTTTATACTTTTAGAACAATATTCATGTGACTGTTGCTGCAGTGTATTGTATTCATGATCAAAATTTTCTTCTCACTGAGTCAATACACTACAGGTTTTCAACTGTTTCAAAATATCTTCTGTTATATGATGATTATGATGAAAGCCGCCTTTTGTTGGGAGAAAAAATGAATGATTGAGTAGGGATTTCGACTCTTAATAAGATTGATTACAATTAAATATCTATATTTTTTGGCAACGAAAGCATAAGCAATAAGAGAATAGATAATTTCAGAAATTACTGGATAACCTTCTTTTTACAAAGTTTGTTTCTCTTCGTTAGTTTTCACACATGCCTCATTGTATAATACTAACCCTAAAAAATATCCAGGTCTCGAAGTTATAGTCTGATGCTCCTGTCACGTATTCATGACACGCGACACAATCAAAGTATATATGTTCCACTCAATCTTTATTTTGATTTTCACTCACTGAGTTCAATGAACTCACTGTTAAGGTTCTAAATCTATTAAATTACTATATTATTTTATCGATTTCATTATTTTCACTATTCACCCCACCTACAACATCCTCCAACCTGATGAACTCTCCACCATGATATGTATAAATTAACTCTGTTGTTCTCTGTTGTATTTTGTCTCTATTGCATCCTTCTTTCCAAGAGAAATCTGAATTCCATCCAACCGTCTGTCTAATCACTATATAAATAGTTTTTTTTTCTTTTAACACTAAATGACTGTCTACTCACATCAACTTTGAAATTATGTTGTTTATACTTTCTATCTAAAAGTTGAAATCATTGTAAAAATTATGTTCAGACAGTATTTTGTAACATGTAATTCATTTATTTAGGATATACAGAATTGAAGAGAATCTGCAACTCCATTTATTTTATTAACAATGATTTGAAGAAAATATAGAAAAATCTGAACCGGATTTGTAGGAATAATCTATGATTACACTATGCTTTTAGTTGTAAACTTTGCAGTATTAGGAATAAATTATCTTCCGAACAAAAGGAGTTTTCCATTTCAGTGAGTTAGTCTTTAGAGAGGTCAGTTTTGTCCTATACTTACGCTTCTTAGAAAATTGTTGTACATTATTTACATAAATAGTTCATTATCTCTGTTATCGCATCTTTTCTTTTAACATAATTTTTTCAAGTGTTTGACGCATCTGTGGTCATTGCCTGGTGTATCCGCTAAACAACTTTTTGTACAATTTGTGAATAAATTTAACTCAGAAACCCAAAGAGATACCGATCTGAAAAAATCAGTTAAATTTACTAATATGCTGGTCAAATTTTTACGAAACTACTCCAACAATCAGGTATACGGTTTAACGATTCCTGTTTTTTATTTTGCCTACAGTTTTCGATCTCTGGTAGATAATTTTACTCTTTTAATTTAATATTTCTTCTCTTAGGGCAGGTTCCAGTACAATTTTGTGTTACGTTTGTAAATCGACGTTTTCCAGTTATGGGAAATTCCGTACATCACTGCAGATTTAGTAATTACGATATATCTGTCAGGTTCACTGATATTATATTGGTGGTATGAATGTACTTGAATAGGGTACATGCCTCTGATTATCTGTACAGATAAATTAAGAATTGCAGCACGTGCCTAACTACTGTTTTCCCTATTATATAGGCCTTCCAAGGAGTCATTTAGGAATCTTATCAACGAAGTCCAACTGGCACTATATAAATAAAAATAACAAAATATTAAAATCACACAAAGATTCGTTTTAGCTTGCTGCTAATACTATAGGAACTGAAAATTATCTTTAACGTACATTGTATTTAGATATTTGAGCAACTACTACGATTGTTAGTAAATGATGAAAGCGTTGTGAATACAGATAAGAATTTTAAATTTGGTAACACCTTATTGTCAGTTTCGTCCACTCAAGACAACAGTTAAATTGTTACAGACAGAAACATTAGTTACACTTTTAGATTAAATATCTATGTCTTTCATCCGAAACTTCCGACTAATTTTTCTTGAATTGAGGATCAGTAGTATTATTCAATTAGACCTAATGAAAATGGAATAGCAACTTTCTTTAATTTTCTTTAAAATACTGTTTGGATAATACTGCTTAGAATATGATATCAAAAATGTGTACGACTACTTCTCCTGCTCAGTTCCCATTGAATGTAATCCTTTTTTAATCGTAGACTTCATATTATTCTTATTCGTTCCTTGAGTTCTCAGTGCAACGCACAGCTTCAGCAGCTCATCTCGACGGTTCTCTGTTCTCTACTGTCTTTTGTAGCTGGTTTCAGGACTATCCACACTTTCATTTCCTCTTCACACGATCTCTTTGTAACTCTCGGACACCCGTTAGGCTTCCATTCAAAAAAGTGACGTGTAATGTCAATTCAAGATCTTAATTATATGTTAAATCCAGCTCCATTTCTTCGCAAATTCCTCTGAATTTAAAGTCTGATGCTTTCCTAACTACTTTGAAGACGCAACTGGCTAGTGTAGAATGCATGACGAATAGTTTCCATACCTTTTTTTCTAAATTCCGCTCCCATTTATGAAGTAAACTATAAGTAAAAAATTATCCGCATGTAAAATGGCTACGTTCGTGTGTCATTAGGCCTTCCATTTCGTGATTTCAGCCCAACCACCTAACAATAAGAATGTCAGGACTGTACACGTGATGACTCATAGTAATTTTCGCATATATTCTAATAAGTCCTTTAATAACTCTCAGGGAAAATGTGTTAATTTGATGTTTGTTGATTCTTTTTCCACTAGCATTTTTGAGTAAATACTTCTCATGCTTTTTGTAGCTATCGTTACCATTCCCTGAGGAGTCGAAGACTATTTTGAAGCAATTGGCAAATGAAAACTCCACTTTCCTTCAAAACACATTAATGAACTTAGTATGTTAAAAAAAACATATGAAATGAAAAATATAATTCAATTCTTCTACGTACAATGTATTGTAATCATGGTTTTTTCAATAAAACATTGTAATTAACCAAGTCTTTCCTGTTTCTTTTTTCTATTGTAATTGTTTTTCCATTGAAATCTGTGAATATTGTGAGGTTTTTTATATTTCTAGATATCTCTAGAATAATGAATATCGGCGATAAATTCATCTCTAAATTATTGGATCCACAATTACAAAGTGGAGACGTATTCAGGTAAGGAAAGTGATAATATTTCCTTTGTTTGTTTTTTTGCTACTTATTCCAGGGTGTGTTTAAAACATACTATTATCAATTTTGTTCACGAATTGAATTTAGTTAGAGAACCGTTGAAAATCAGGGAGTACCGGACAGTTGTTTCGTCTTTGTTTTTTTGGAAGAGCATATCCATTAACCTTGTCAGGGATCAGTGGAGTCCACCAAGTTGCACGTGAGGGCAGACACTCGCCGTTGACATTTGTTAGTAGTCTCCCTATATGTTAAGAATTGATGGGCCATTGGATTCTACCCCAGTGGGTGAATGATATACCAGTCCGCCTTGTAGCTTGAAGTACGATATCTGATGGGGTCACAAATGCGTACTGCAGTAGAGGTCCAAGTAAGGACAAAGCAGCTATCTAGTACCCGTTGATTTTCAACGGTTCTCTAACTAAATTCAATTGTTTATCAAAACTGAAATTAATCATATCTCTGAAAACCAGCACTTGAAGATATGATTTTATTCAGTAACTTGAAAAATCTCAGTATATGCTGCAATATGGGTTTTGTGGCACTAAAGTGAACTCAGAAATTTTAATAAATCATTTCTGTTGTAAATCATATACTGTGATGAAGCTATTTTTGATTCTTGGATGAGTGACGTATATTATACATTAAAATGTAGAGATGTGGTTCATTGGTTCTAGTCTGTGAGTCACGGGCTTGTTTCCCGCTCCAAAATCAATCGACGAGGCTATAAAGTTACACAGATTGAGATGGCTAGGTCACGTGCTGCGCATGCCTAACCAGCGCCTCCCCCGACGGGCATTGCTAGCTGATATAGGTGGTGCAGGTGGGAAAATAGCCAGTGGTGGCCAAACAAAAACATGGCATCAATCCATGAAATCCTTGAAAGTTAAACTGAGTCAGGTAGGGAGATGCAGACTCAAGGGTTGGGGCCCTCGGGACTCTAGGAATCAATGGCTGGAGACAATAGGTGACATGGCTCAAAATCGTTGTCAATGGCGCAGATGTATTCAGTTTCTGTAATCTTTCATATTTCTTTCTACCATTACCCATTCTGTTTCACTCTTATACTTGTCAAACTCTATTGATTCTCTTCACTCATCTTCTTGTCTACCTCTGTGTGCTATTTGGAACGTGGCAACTCGAACTGGTGCACTTCGGTGCCAAGTTCTATGTTGAATCCAGACAGACAGACCCGCTCCACCTACTTCAGCGTTGGCAACAGGGTAGTACCACTACCCCGCTTCGATTAGTGTGGCTATTAGCCAGGTACATGAAAAGTCTTTTCCATGTAGTTGTATTCATATATTAAAATAGGTGTATAAAGACAGTTTCATTGGTTTATCATGCAAGCAAATCTCTGTCCTCTTTTTTTCCAGCTTTTTACAACTCTCTTGTTTTACGAGTTGATCACGGATTGATATCAGTTAGAGAACCATTGAAAACCAGGGAGTACTGGACAGCTGCTGTTTCATCCTAGTTTGGGAATCATCAGCAGTACGCACCCACTGGGATTCGAACCCAGGACCTTCCGGTTTTACCAGTAGTCAGTATTTATTATTATTAAGTTTAGTATTTGGTTTGTATGAGTTGTTCTCCTGTAAGCATGATCTGACAAATTGTCGTTAATAAATCAATCCTGTGATATCCAGAAATAGTGGTTTATGGTGAACTAACGATATTCACTAGCTCAATTTTACCTTCATGAGAAACGAATACTTTGCTTGCATGGTTGGACTGAATCATTCACTATTGATATGCCAGTCAAAGTAATTCAGGACTACATATAGCGTACTGTTAAAAATCTAAATCACTAATCAGATATGTATGAATTCCTAAAATAGCTGTAATGGTTTATTGTATTTATACGAATATGCAAATAAATTTGTGTTTGAAACAGTCTCTATAAGAAGCTGTTTGTTCAAAACTGAAGTAAATTAAATTTGCAACTTATGAATGTGCACTTTTTGTGTGTTGGTTGCTTGCATAAGTTGTCACTCAGCCGTCTACTCAGCTTACGTCCATTCCATCTCCGTTTTCTTGAATGTCACAAAGCTAATGAAAGCTGAGAAGACAGCAGGACCACATTGAATTCCCTCGGAAGCACTGAAAATAGATCCAAAGACTTCAGTGGTTGTGCTCACGTAATTATTGTAGAAAAGATTAGCTGTCTTTGATCATAGGTGCCTGCGTTCTATTTCCCGTGTGAAGTGGTTATAATAAGGTGAGCAATATTGAGGTTAGGTGTCGAGTTCTAGGTAAGCAGTGGAAATCAATCGACGGGGCTGTGAAGTTACATCGACTGTGCGTCGGTAGCACAGTGGTTAGGACTCTCGCCGACCATGCACATGGTCCGAGGTTCGATCCCCTGCCGACGCACACCTGATATCTGTGGTCGGTCTGCGAAATTTGGGCTAGCGATATCCATGCTGAAAATTCCATACTTGTACCAAAAATACAGTGTGGAATCAAGCTGTAAATCAAAAAAATAAAATAAAAATGGTTAGGATATGTGTTACGTATGCTTAGTCATCGCCTTCCTCAGCGGGCAATGTTAGCTGATATAGGGTCAGGCTGGAAAAGAGCTAGCGGAGGTCAAATAAAAACATGGCACCAGTCAATGAAATCTACAACAGTTAGTCTAAGCCACGTAGGAAGGTGTAGACTTCCTGACTGGTTGGGGTCCTCAGGACGGTAAAAAACTAATGAAGGCTGCAAACAATTGGTGATATGGCTCAAAATCGTTCTCAATGGCTAGTACAGATGCATCCACTCCTTGTAACTTATGATTTCCAATGAAACCGTTTTGTTCTTCGTTATTACTATTCCTTTGTCTCACACCTCTGTTTACTGTCTCTAATATGCATTTCTTCTACTTTCTTCTCTTGCTTTGTGTGCCACATGGAGTGTGGCGAAATGAACTGCCGCACATATGTGCAAAGTTCTGTGTCGAAAACACACAGACATTATTGTAGAAAGTTGGTAAGAAAGGAAAGGCACCTACTGATTGGAAGAAATACTATTTTGTCAAACTACTAAAGAAGGACAACTTAAGGCTTTACACGACAGCATAACTTAATTCATTTTCGCTCATTTACATTACACATTTTTTGTGAGTAATCATCCCGTGTGTATTTGTGTGTGAAGTCAATTGTTGTTTTTGAACTTGTGTTGACTGAAACCAGACACTATTCTTTAGACAGAAAGTATACTGTATTACAGGAAAATCCTATTCTTTCAATTTTTTATATTCTCCCATCATGATATTGTGATCAGTGTTTTTCGTACTTTCTAGAGGTGAAAGAGTATTTTCACCTAATCCAAGAACTATTTATGGTGGTGAACTTATGGCACAAGCATTGATGGCTGCCAGTAAAACTGTACCAGACGGCTACAGACCTAATAGCCTACACTGTTACTTTCATGATCGATGTGAGTTAAAATAATAGTAATAATAATAAACACTTTTATGTGAAATAATTTTGTCCGTTAATGCTGTGTAAATTGTAATAAAAACGACTTAGAAATCTATAAAACCTATAATTTTATATCGGATTTCATCATATCCATAGTAAAACTTAACTACTACTTAGCCGATGTTTGCGAAAATTATGGAGTCTTTTTAAAAAACACGGAATAGTGGTTTTTCTTTTTCCTGCCTTCTTATTCTTGGATAATACTAATATTTGATAATTGTTATTAATGGAAGTGCCCCGTGTGTTTAAGCTGTAACTATGTAGTCATCGTTTCTATAAATCTTATTTTATTCCTTCGCGCTCGCCGACCATGCACATGGTCCGGGGTTCGAGCCCACACCGGCGCACACCTGATATCTATGGTCGGCCTGCAAAATTTGGGCTACCGATATCCATGCTGAAAATTCCATACTTGTACCAAAAATACAGTGTGGAATCAAGCTGTAAATAAAAAAATAAAAAAATAGAACATAGGGTTTCAAGCCTGAGCTCTGAAGTTTCAGTACCGGAGGTTTTTTTTTCTTTATGTCGTGCGGTTGCTAGACTCGTGCCCAACTCTCCCTCCTTATCGGCCTTATTACTGGCTAAGCAAATTATGGGAGTGTGTTGGCCGGAAATCGAAACCCGGACCACGTCTGTGGTTGGGGAGTATTCTGTTGCTGAAAGACCGACGCACATTTACCATTGCAGTGGTTTAACTCCTTATTTTAATGTTTTATATACGCGAAATATGCTATTATGGACTACATAGTACCAGGTTTAAACTCAAGTCACTTTCTAGTGCTATGAAATTTTAAGGTCTAGTTGAGGGTCTTCAAGGAAGCTGGAGATAAACCACAATTGAATTTTTACACTCAGATGTTAAAGAATGAAGCTACAATGGCAGTCATCAAGAAGAATTCGGAAAAGAAAATTCGAGCAAACCTGCGTGAAGCAACACTGGAACTCCCTGAAACGTTATGTGTTAGGAAACCTGAGTAGACATTTTGGACAGCAAGAAGAGACAATGTAAGAAATGACTCCCTATGGTGATGTTGAATTTGATAGAAGAGAGAAGAATGATCACCCAGAAGATGAACAAGTGTAGAGATGAATAACGAAGGGAGAAACTGAGTAAAACATACAACATACATACAGAGAAGTGAAAGAGAGTGCTTAGTAAGCTAGAAACGCTTTTGCGATACATTAGCAACTGAAGCAGAGCAGGTTTCAAATAAGGGAGACCTCAAGACACTACATCAAATAACTAGGTTACTTTCCGGGAAGAGAACAACGTAGACGAAGCCTGCGAAAGATAGTGAAGGAAAACTAATCACCAAAAGTTGAAATACAATGAATATTGCCCAGATCAATTTACAAGACCCTTGAGTCGACCACCGCTTACAAATTGTCAAGAATTATCCCCAGCAGACACAACTACCAGTGAACACTAACCCTCCAAGAAAATCAGATGTTGAAAAAAACCGTTAAGTTACTGAAAGCTAGAAAAGCAGCAGAAGGAGCTGAATAATGCTTCTGTCCATCCCATGCAAAATATTAAGCTGCGTCATGCTGGATAGATCAAAAGATACTCATCCAACAACAACACTCACCACCAACCAGAGAAGCTGAAGGAAGTTGTCTCTTTTACTTACCTCCCCTAGGCTGCCTCATTTCATCTGCAGACGACACAAATGAAAACGAATCTCTCAGGATCAGAAAAGTAAAAATGGCGTTCGTTTCTCCGAAATCACTGTGGAGATTTACAGCACAAGGAATATGATCCGTATTTTCAACACCTATGTCACGTTAATCAATGCGTCTATGTGGTTAAAGACCTTAGTCCACGCCTGACGAAATGACTTTCGAACAGACTACTGCAAACTCATCCACAGCTGCCTACTCGCGATACTAAAAATGAGATGATCGGTCAAAAAAGGATAAACAACAATGGGCTTTGGCGATGAACCTATTACCCAGTAAATATGAAGGAAATAAAGTTAGATTGGATACACGCTGAGAAGACTTTTGCGTGACATAATACTCCAGGTTGTTGATTGGAATTCGACAAGACAGGCATCCGAGGTTGGTATAGAGAAAATCATGTGAAGAGAAAATCAAAGCTTTTGGTAATCTTGGAGCCAACTAAGAAAGGCTACAGAGAACGGAATAAAATGCATGTGCTCCGCTGATGCCCTAATTCCCAAGAGATGAATAATATGGTATTATAAATACAGAATCCAATTCCACAGGGTCTTATATACTCTTTAGAATCGATTATGGTGGATGTCTTTCCTCACTATCTACTTTGTGATCAAACATTTATTTATATTGTCAACCATAAGAAGTGTAGTTCTGACACATCCATGAATTTCTACCGAGACTTATATACTTAAAAGTTAATTAGATAACTGTAGGTTTAAATGTGTGGTCACCGAAAAAAAGCTTCATTTCTGAAAAGCAGTTATAAAGAATTATGACTTTTACTACAAGTAACCTTTCATGAGTACGCCTATTGGTTGTCGACAGTCTTGAATTTTGTTTCCACCTACTTTTATAATATATTCAATAAAGTGAATATACTTTGATTGGGCACTAGTAACTAGTGTGATGTGTCTGGTTCTTTCTTTGGTGCAGACTGAATTCTATCAGTCAGGTTCGCAGGTTCGAATCTCAAAAGGGAACATGTGTTCCTTCAAGGTTGGAAATACGCTTTGCTGACGAGTGCCAACTAGCAGGAAACCTAGGTCCTGCCGATTGCCTCCGACCAGCTAATATCATCAAAAGTGAATATACGTTAAGAAACTTATAAGCTTTTTGCAGTGAAGTTAATTATTGAATTTCCGTATTAGAGGATAAATTAGTAATTAAATTTGTACATTTTCACCTGGAATTTATGCAGCCAAACGATGCAGTATGTATCATCTTGTCACATGGGACAATTACCTTGAACAAATTTTATACACATATAATAAAATCTCCCAATAATCGACATCTTTCCTAGTAGTGACAGTCGTATGATAAAGGTATCCAAGTGACTGAATACAGTCATGACGTTAGTTGATTGTGATGTACTACTGTTTGGAATTGTATATCAAATTAAAATTTCTCTAACTCACTTTTTTTTAAAGCAAGTGTTTCAGAACCAAATGATTATTATGTTACCAAACTCCGTGATGGACGTTCATTTTGCCATAGATTAGTTGAAGCTTTCCCGATAAATAAAGACAATGTCGTAACTCCTTACTTCCGCATGGATTGTTCGTTTAAAACTCCTGAAAAAGACCCAGCATCTTTTTTGTCTTCTATGCCAAAAGTTCCATCGGTTGAAGAAATTCAAGATTTTAATACTTATTTAAAGTCACTTGATCTGTAAGTTTTTACCAGAATTTACTTTTTTCTTGGTAAACAATTTTTGCATTTTTAATGAATATGATTTTTGGTTTTATATTACTACCTACTAACATTCTATAATAGTAAATTGTTTACTGAAGACTTTTGAAAAATGTTTTGATTGAACAAAGTAAAACATGCTTTTGTGTTATAATATCAAATGCAGTCTTGGTTTGATGATTTAAACACATGAACACGAGTGACAAAGAAAATCCTGCTTGTTGTAACTTTATAGATGAAAATATTGATGTTATATAAAATAAAAATGCAAGTTTCTTTGCATTCACTGAGCCACTTTCCTTATACATCAAACAGAGAGACATGAATTCGCTAGGTTAGGTGAGTCATCTTTTTATGCTCAAACTGATGAATACTATGTACCATAAATTGAAGCAGTCCAACTATTGGGAAATCGGTCTTCTGTTGCTTATGATAGTTTTGGATGTATATTTATAGATATAAGTAAATCTGTGGCTTTGAGTAGCCACACATTTAAAAAGTATGTGGTGAAGTATATAAATCATACTTATTTTCCCTTGAGTCGTTCCCACTTCTAATCTGTACTGAGCTATATCAATACTGAGTATATCAACAAAGTTACAGTTGTAGAGACATTTCGCGTGAACATATTCAGGCGTTATACACCCCTGTCAAAATGAAGCGGACTTCAAAGTTATATCTATTATTTACATGATATGTTTCCTGTGTGGAGCTGTTTTGTTGTCACTATCCCTCAACCACCTTAAACAAAGATTCACTAGTCACTGGTATTTGCGTGTCTCTATTTATTGTTTGAGACTTTGCTGGTTTTGTTTTACGTTGTGTAATACTGTAGCATTTATTCACTTTGTTCATAATGTCCAGTATGTTTTCAAACAGGATTAAGAAGTATTCACCTTTGATTACATTCTTAACGTACTGTATCCTTAATCACACTTTTGCTTTTAGCGAGAGTTTACCAGTGGTACCACGAGGTCGCATACAACAGTTTCTGAATTTTGATGCTAATTCGCCTATTGAAACTAGATTTTGTGAGCCAGAATATGTACTTGGCCTTAAGTCTAATGTTGGCGGTCGATTACATTCTTGGATGCGTTTAAAAGAAGCCCCATGTAAGTGGTTTTCTTCACTGTCTTTTTATTTCTCTCTTCGTCCTTAGTGAATCAGTCAATATTTCAAACTTGAAAATAGTTAGACTAATGACTTCCAGTCACTTGATTCTGTGTACTATTTTTTTGCACCGCAAGAATAAACTTTCATTATGGGTAAAACTTACTTTGATAAAGTCTCAGTGTTATACAGTAATATTTACTGATGACGTTTCGGGCACAATTGATTGCTCATAATCATTATAAGGTACTCACACAACTTTCTAACTTCGTTTATGTAGTTCCATTATTTTCCATCGTCTGATTTGATTGGTAATAGTATTTTCCATATTTCCAGTATGCTTGATGAGTCATTCCTGTTGCATATGTTGGTTGTAGACTCGATGAACAAGGATTCAGTAGCCAACTTCTCTCTCTCCACCTACCTAGATTACTTTTTAGAACTGTAACCCTCTCCCACCCTATTGTGTGGTTGCGTGCTAATGCATGCAGTGCAATTGCTGAGCTTTTTTCTAAATTACTTATCTTCTCGGGGTCAACCATCTTTACCTTAGCTAAATTCTTATGTTCCGACAATCTGACTACCCCTGACCCACTAGTTTGACCTATGTAGTTGATCTCACAGTCATTGCAGGGTACTTTGTAAATTATATTGTTTTGCCTAATTGGGTCAACAGGATGCCTTAACCTAGAGAGCTTGTTAAATACTTACTGCTTTTATTAACTGCATTGTGTGTAGAATTATTAAACGTACAATATTGTCTGTGTAAACAATAAATGTATATAAAAGTAATATGAAGTGTTATTTGCATATCTAACATTTGTCTTTCTAGCTATCCCCTTGCACTCTTATCGTGATGCTATGCTGGCGTATTTATCTGATGCTCTTTTGTTATGGGTTGCCCTAACTGAACCACATCATGTTCATTATTTGGTAACTTTAAATCAAAGCATATGGTTTCACAATCCAGATATATGCCCTGAACCAAATGAGTGGATTCTTTTCGAAACACGAGCTAATTACGTAGGTGGGTTTAGCATTTTTAATTCTTTTATTTACTCTGGATAATAAATATTTTTAAAAACATTTGGAACATAAACAGTAAAGTGGATATGTAGATCCAGACCTTGACGTGATGTTTGGGCCTGCATATCGCACTGACTAATCTTCCTACAGTTGCTGCCACGCCAGAGAGGTCTTTCAAGTAGCGATTAGACTAAAGGCAGTTACCATCACCATAGTTAAAGCTGTTTACACTGTGTTGGGGGAATCTGTGGGTGAAGTTTTGCTGCTGGGGAATAATGATGTGACAGCAGTAAGATGCTTCCTTCAGACGACCAGCATGTCAGTTATGCTGAAGGGAGGGGATTAAAAACTGTCCACCACGAAAATTGTACATCCCAACTTACCTTGAGGCTGTGGGTAGCAGGTTTTAAGACTGTCATATGGACGCATCTCCCAAAAACCAATTCAAAGACGCCATTTGTGACCGGCTTCAAGTACTTTTTCCCTGAACTCTGTGGTAAGGCAATACTAATACTCTTCTGTTTCAGATACCCCAAGAAAAAGTCATCCTCCACAGTGTGTTCAGCCGGGTAGGAACGATCGCCCACAAACTTACGAAAGCAAATAAAGCTCTCGTGATCACCAACCATCTTTACATACGTCACAGTTATGTTGCTTTCCTCCTGTTAATACTATTCCACAGGCAAGTACCTCATCTTCTGTTAACTCTGTGACCACTAATAGCCACGAGAGCCGCAAAAATACTACTGATGGTCTCTTGAAATCACTTTGCCGACTTCGCTTTCAAGAATTTAACGTCAAAAGCCTTTTTAAATCAGGTATCACTAACTGAAACTCTAGTATCGCAAACCATGAATGTATGTCGTGTTTCGAAGACGCGCATGCAAAAGTGGAGAGTGTGATTATTCACTTAACTCCACCTGGTTGATATGGTGAGTCCGTAAAATCCATCTTACGGGTGTCAAAATATCTTTCAACTAGTTTGTGAGGACATGCTGGTGTTGGGATAAAATTTGAGTACTAGCGCAGAAAAATCCAATGGATACTCATATGTGTACTGTCTGGCTGAACAGATCCGTCGATGTCCTTTCCTAATCTTTGCTTACGCACCCAACAGACTGCGGTTTGGACGAAGTAAAGGAACAGTTCTATCAGCAATTGTATAGTCTGCTGCTAAAAGTGAAACACTCAGATGCAGTTGCTTTAGCACTCAACTTCAATACTCAAGTTGGAAAATTGTACCAGTCTGAGAAATATATTGAAGGCACCTACGGATTTCCGTCCCGACTAACCAACCACGTTGATTATCTTCAGTTACAAAAAGAGACATTGCCTAAACTGGCGACTTGCGTCATTAAATCAACGATGTACCACATAGTGATAAGCTATCAATGGTGACAGTTGGTAGGATACTGCTGTTCCTCCTGATACACATTCGTAGACTCCAATCATGCTCTAGTCTGTGTGTGCGCGCGCCTAAGACTGAACGAACATTTTAAAGAGACTGTATCAATAAAGCCTTTACACCCATAATTTGACCTGGACACTAAATCTCTGTTCAAGGAATAAACAGGTAAACGCGTAACTAAGATGGACAACATGACTCCTCCTGAAGGAGCCTGGCATAATATCCAGCCAGCTGTAGAATCAACGGTAAATTCTGTTGGTAGCCTAACTTCATCCGAACCGATAGATGCGAGAAGACTGATTCGAGCTGGCTCCGAATGTAACGAGGAGCGAAAGTTGCTCAAACATAAACTGACGAAAAGTCTCCTCAATGACTGTGGACGGTAGTGGGCTACCTGAGTGAAAGAGACAGAAAAGGCATCGGCAATGGATAACACCGGACAACTATATAGTTGGCAAAAGGTAAGTAATATGTGAGGTAATCTCTGAGAAACATGGTGTCCTGATTAGCTCTCAGGATAGATGACTGGAACATTGTATGGAACATTTTTACGGGCAGTTTGACTGGCCTACAGCCACGCTCAACTTGCTCAGCATCCAACACCTATATGAATGGGATGTAGCCATCGATCCTTCATCCGTAACTGACGTGACAAATACTGTCTCTAATCTGAAACGCGGCAAACCAACAGGACCTGATGGATTGACTACAGAGGTGTTGACAAATCGCTGTCGGGATTAACTAAGGTACTAGACACTTCTTCACTTATTTTAGAAGTTGCATCAGCCTTGATAGGCCGAATGCTGACAAAATATCAGCGCGGATACAAAAGACTCGTATGGATTCGCTATACTATAAACGTGATATCCAGCTGCCGGTCAAAGGATGTGTGCTGCTCAGCAGTTCGCTCTGACCTCCTCTATGGCTGTGAAACATGACTTTTGAAAGTGAAAGATATCAAATGGCTAGCTGTCTTCAAACGCAGATGTTTCGGTTCTATATCCGGAGTTAGGTGGTATAGTACGGTAAGTGATATTGAGGTTAGGTAAGAAGGGTAAGTCAATCGATGAGGTTGTGAAGCTACATCGATTGAGATCGTTACAGCACGTGTTTCACATGCGCGGCCAACTGCTTCCTTAACGTACAATGTGAACCGACATAGGATGAAATGGTTTTTCCTTTATTCAAAAATTACTGATCACTAAACCAAAACTCCTAGAGCCCATTTAGTTGAATTTTCGCCGGATTAGTTCATTGCGAAAATCTGCTCGTCTCGTGGGTAACTACTTTCCGATGTTGCTCGCTCTGTAAGCTTTCAAACCCCAGGGTAAGTATCTTACCATAATGAAAATCAGTGCGATAAGATGCTGGCTCACAATGCTAACCATGACCCAAAGGGTATCGTGTGAAGGAATCTTTCATCAAATAAAGGATTGGCTTAATTTGCAGCAGAATGGTGAACATCAACATATGGTGTAGTACTTTTTCAAACCTCACTGAAAGAATACGTTATAGAATTTTAAATTCTTTAGAAAAGACCACTTCACTCAGTTTTATGAAGTATATACCGGAAATTATATTTACCGTACATCTTATTTTTCGTAAAATTAAAATACAGGTGGCGCCTTAACGCTTTCATATGGGGAAATTTGGAACAAAGAAGGTCACCTTTTGGCAAGCATGGCTCAGCAAGGCCTGATGCGCACTCAACAGCTAAAACCAGTTTCGTCCTATACATCAATGGGTGAACTTGCGAAACAACCACCGAAATAATTATCCTGCATTTTATAGTTTTTTGAAAAAATGGACTTATCATCTTCATTATCAGAATCTCGAATACACTGTGTTAACGTATATATATCTGTCATTCCTTTTCATCCTGGAATAGAAATCATTCACCTGAAATATGTTTTAGTAATACTTCATTCACTAACTACTATTTTGTGTATTACTGGTTCTGTGATTATCTCATCAGCATATCTGCGTTATATGTCATATTTGTTATTTATAAATACATGATGCTTCAGCATAACATTGCTGCAAATTTATCTTTTAATAAGACTATACATGCACTGCACTCACTTCATGATACACTTTTAAACTACTCCACTCGAGCTTGCCTTTAAACTACGCAGAACAAGCAGTGAGTGATCACTAGAATATCGGAATTTTACACAATAACATTGGGCACCTATAAACTGAAAACACGATTTCTAAGGTTCTTCTCTGTCTATCATCTATCTAAAAAGTATTTGACGGTTTACCTGACTCAAATGTATACTAGTGTCTTTGCTAATTTTCAACTCAAGCCAAACACCCATTCAGACATGGATAAAAGAGCAAACAGTTCAATGAAGAGTCTCTTTTCTGCGATTGCAATTATATATCTTTTTTTATCTGTATACGTACATTAGGTTTGTCAAACAGGAATAGAAATTAGTTAGGGTTATTCAGAAAAACATGATGAATAATTGAAACTGGAACCAACAGGAAGGTGGAGATTAGTAACTATAGTTACGTAATATGAGAACGTTCAGAAAAAACTGGATGTTAGCGAAACAGCATAGAGACAAGTATCGAAATAAATTTTGTAGTAAGTGAAGAGAGTAAATAGGTTACTACTTTAGGGAATGATGTCATACGAAAAATGCACAAAATAGTAATAATAAAATACTGACAACGGTTGAAATTGGAACTGCACCCAAGGTGAGAAGAGGGAACAAAGAAGTTTCTTGTGTGCTTATGCATCACGGATTTCCATCCGATTGCAAAGTATGCAGGAGCTCACTGATTTTGCAGATAGCTTTGAATGGATTCCCCTTATATATTGATTGACCAGTGCTGAATATACGTTCATTTAAGCAGTTACCTTTTTGTAGCCATGTGAGATAATATTCGCTGACTCTTTTAGATTAAATACGCATCGGACGACCCATATATCTCGCTCCACACGAGCAAGTAAATTTGTAGATACACATAGAAGTGGTCAAGTGCGATAGTTTATCTTTTGAGTTGTTGATGAACATAGGGCGACGAGAGGATGCCAAGCGTATTGTAGCAGCAAAGAATGTTCTTTTCACGGCGTTTGGTTATTCTATTTAGTATTTCCCAGAAGGTTGCCTTCGAACTCCAGATTCACGTACAGCATCTTCGGCACAGAGATGCGATGTTCTTTTGGGATTTTATGTGTTAATGTGTGTGCGTGGGAGACAGCCACCTCAAAGGAGTTTGTTCTTTAAAAGAGTGAACTCATTATCTACTGACTCAGAGTTGCATATTCTTCGGATCCTAGTCACAGGTTCTGTTTGGGATTATGCGTACCAAACTACAGAAGTTTTTCAACTGGCCGTCCAAAGTAGGCTTTCATATATTTATCTTTTCAAAGTCCTATCTGTATCCTTTGTTAGTCGAACGTCCAGAAAGCAGATTTTCTTTCAGGTTTCTAATTCATTTTTAAATTTGATGGTTGGGTGACAGCTACGAAAAGCTTGAAGGACATTATTTAGGTCACATTTATTATCACAAGTGGTAAAAGTGTTATCAACGTACCTTTTGTACAGAAAAAAGCCGTCGATGGATACGATTTTATTTTGATAAATCACACAGTGTTATGCAGTAATATTAACTGATGACCAAGTTTCGAGCATAAACTACTGCTCATAATCATATCAAGTTACACAACTTTTTTTCTTCATTTATATACATGAGTGGAATCGATTAGATATTGGAATAAACACCAATATTAGGATAATGTACATTCAGAATTAATAATATGAGTGTTATTGATCAATTACAATCCTATGGAATAGTCACAATAAGGAACTTGTTAGAATGTTGTGATGTGCTTGAATTGAGATAGAATTTTCAGATAATTCATTATCCTCTTCTGATTTAACTGGCGGTAATAATATCTCCCATATTTCTAGTATTTGCATGGAGTCATTCCTATTGCATGTGTTGGGTGTAGACTCGATGAACAAGGATTGATATGATCATGAGCAATAGTTTGTGCTCGAAACGTGGTCATCAGTTAATATTACTGTACAACACTGTGTGATTTATCAAAATAAAATCTTATCCATAATGGAGTTATACTCTATCACAGTGCCCAAATTTTATACTTATATCAAAGCTGTCGATGGTCGATTTCAACGGACCAATTTCCAAACTTGCCATGAAAATATCTGCAAGTACTGGACCTAAAGGGGATCCATAGCCACGGCATCCGGTTGTTTGTAAATAATACCACCAAACGTAAACCGGACGTTCAAAGCACATCTAAGTCGTTTTTCAAACCCTGGGGTCGGTATCCTAATACTCAAGTTGTTGTCTTCCAAATATTTCCATAGCACACAAGTCGTCTCCGTAATCAGGACATTTGTGAAGAGAGACTCTAAATCGAGTAATATGCTTTTATCTCTCACTATCACACCTTTGATACAGTCGACAAACTCAAGCGTGCACCCTGAAATTCGTCCTCCAACGCAATGTAGGAGTCTTGCCAGTCAGTTCGCAGATGGGGTGCCAATGAGATCCAGACGTGTCCGAAATAGGACGCACCAGGTGATGAGCCACGTTTGATTTGTGAGCACTGTTGATACTAATCGGTTACCCAGGGCGAACGGGACCTATTGAATATGAGTTGAGTTCTTCGGTCAACGAGTCACGCCTCCACGTGGAACGCATACAAAACTGTATCACTATTGCTCCTAATGTGCTTCAGCGCCTATGGAATCAGTCTCCAGAATTTAAGAGCATGACGCTTAGTGATTCCTAAATATTGAGTACACTAACTACCATTGGGTTTGAATTTTAGAAGGGAAATGAATTCCTCCAACACTGCAGATATACCTTGCTGACAAGCGCTAACAGCCACGAAACGCAGACATATGCACGTCCAAGCTAGAAACACAGTTACCCTGTTCTGAAAACATCATGTGGTTTTCGTTACAGATCGACGTCATATGAGTATAGTAAAAGATATTTTCTCGAGGAATAAAAACAATCGATTATCAAAACTAGCTAACTAGAAATCCGATTATTTAACATATCTGGACAAAGAAAAGCAGGTATCAATTAACAACTGCAACAAGTTTCATGCGTCGATAATGGTTAAATTTTTCTATAGTTCGGTGATTTCTTTCATCGGGACGGTAAAAACACTTGAAATCTACCTTAGCTGTAAGAAACAACTTGTTTCGTTTGATTAGTTCACATTAATACGTATGCTAAATAAATAAATATGATTTAGATTTGCCTACCTCACCCAAAAAACACGTATAAATTCAGTGAATTTTTCAAATGTAGTCATTGAAGTCATTAGGTGAAAACATTTAATAAAACCACAATCGCTTCCCAAAGCGCTACTCTATGTTAGGTCACTGTATCACAAAGACGTTTAAAATGATAAAAAATAAGATTTTTTATAATAAATATAATAATCATAAATATATACATATCTGGTCAGTCTATCAACCCGGAAATAACACAAAAAGAAAAATTCCACTGCTAAATAATTGTTACAACAAATTTATACTGAAATATTTGTTTCCACTTTTGCACACTATATCCGTTACGTCATGATACATTTGTTTGCTTTCAGTGAATATTACTTTCTTCAAATTTGCCTATGGAGAAGGGGAATTACAAGGTATTCTACTTACTAGGAAATTGTCTAAGACATCTTCAGAATACTTTTCCCGAACATTCCCATTACACCACAAGAAACTTATATGGAACTTCGGGTCCTGAGGAATAAATAAGCAATTATTTGTTTCACCTTATAATATTCTGGACCTCTAAATGCTGTGACGCATGAGTCTACAGAATTAAGTAAAGGGATTAACGCTACGTGAGATTCTGCAGAAGCTAATAAAGTAACAAAAGATCTAAAAAACAATATTAGTTTTGAAAGGTTATTACCTTGTATTTTCCTCGTTTACCAAGATGTTTACATCATCAAAAGTAACGTGAAATCTGCCGATAGCCAAATATGAAAACACTAGGCTTACTTCTCGAAAGTGCTTATAGAAGCGCGAAGATTACAAATAAGATTCTCGATCCAATGGAAGTAAATGGGCCATGTTTTTGATAAACTTAAATGGAGGGAGTCCATAAAGTGGAAATTATCTATAACGAGATCCGACTGTATTATAGGATTGTCAATAGCCTTAAGCAGCCTAGAAATTAAATGAGGACCTAAGAAAAAATGCATGAGTCTGTAGTACTTACACGCTATATATATAGAGGTAGCCCAATTACCAGTCTCATGAGGAAATTTTCTCGTACGAAAATTGTGTTTTGCTGGGTCATCTTCATAAACAGGAAAACGCAAACGATCGGAATCCAAGACTTGTAATGCCGAGGGAAGTTCTAGTTTCTCATTCTCCTCTTCATCACTAGATGAATATTCAACCAAATGTGTACTCATGCTGCATAAATGAAATGATAAATATGAAGTGAGACGGAGAACATCCGACTGGTGAGATACCTTAACATTTAGTAGAAAAATAGCTAATTAACAGTCCATGACGTGGGGTCGTGGGATGAAGGATGTTTGTGCTAGATTAGCATCGGTTGATGTCACGACTCCCTGGTTGCAGTCCGAGAGATAGCTCAAATCGATGGCTCTAAGCGTTATCGGATATGGCCACGAATCGTAATCAGTGGCGAATGTGTTGCAATTTCCTTCTTTCTTCCCTTCCCGATGATAGTTAACGAACGCTGTTTGAACTTGTTGAGTATGAATGTCTTCCTTCCAGATGAAGTTCTTTATCCGTTCTCTACTTATAATTTTTTTTTCTTCTCCTTCCTTTTTTTTCTTTTGATCCATGTTGTTTTATTATTATTGTGTGGCGCATCCTTCTTGGTGCCATATTGTAGCAAGTTTTTTTATGCGTTTAAATAAATAAATTAATTAATTAACAAAAGGAAATACAAAATTTCTTACTAGAGTTGGATATCCTAAAGTAATTTTGTGTGAGGCATTGACAAGATGGCCGACAAAGCTATTAACTAAACTTATAACTTATGTAATGTTTGACCTACCTGAGTTTATAGCTTCCTAGAAGACGAGGATAAACGAGCCAGACATAACTGCAAACGATACAACATGCGTTTTTATAGTCCACATCACTTATTTAGTGTTACGAGTCTTCAGACCGCGCATGTTTTATTGCCTAATGCTCAAGTCTGAACACAAGCTTCTTGTGTGTATAAAATAATGGTAAGACAAGCTTTAACCAAAAGATGATAAGGAAGAAAGCAAGTGATGCGATTCAGAAAATGGAAACAGAAGCTTCAGAATCATCAAGACAAAAGTCAGGTCAATATGTAGCTGTATTTCGCGAGGATTTTTAGAGAACCAGCACTTCAAATTTAGATTATTCACATTTACCTGAGAAATCACAGGGTTCAAAATGTAACAACTAATGAGTTCAGGGAGCCTAATGCTCTCCCGAGACACTATTCCCTTTTGTCAACAGATGAGCCTAGGAATTACTATTTAATAGGGAAGGGCTAGCAACGGACTAAGTTTTAATGCGGTATTTCAAACAACAGGGACAAAATCATTTCCTATCCTGATCAAACAGCATTGATATTGATCTCACTCTACGCCAGCTATTAACATGTATGCCAATGATAAGTACTGTTCGGTATATTAATGTACGAACCTAAATCATTGGAAGGCTGCGACGTATGTTTAAGTGATTAGGTATTTCTCATGTAGTACGAATAATGCATATGAAAATATCATCCACTGTATTTTAACACACATGGGAGGGAAAAGAATCCTAGCTGTGCAGAAACATGATTCTTGTCTTCTTGAAGACCTAAATGATAGTAACAATAATAGTAGCATTTGCTGTAGTAGTAGATGGAATGGTACTAATTATTCTCGTATAGACAAACTACTGAGAAACATGAATGCTGCTGATTTATTATTCTTTTTTTATGAATAAATAAACGAAGTGTCAGCTAAGACAGTTATTTTCTTTTGTCACATGCTGGTTTTAAACGAGAGATGACCATGCGTAGGGATTCAGGAAAATCTATATTTAAATCATTCATATTAGCAGAAAGACTCTCGAAGTTTTGGAGATGATTATGCTGGTTTTACTCATAACTCCGGCAACTTTAAAGGACATCAGCCCAAACCGGAATGACAAATGACCTTGACAAGGACAACTTCGATCAATCAGAAGGCTCAAAGAAATCAGCGCATAATTGTAAGAAGTCGTTTATATATAAGGAATGCAATCTTAAAAAAAGGGCGAAGTTAAACTTTTGACACCACTAACTACCAATCAGAGAATTAGCCAATGAGATTCACGAACGACGTCGAAATATCCAATGAGGTTTACTAATGTAGTTCAATGTTGTATAGCGCTTGATTCATTTCGAATGCGTCCCCTTACAAGTTTACGGTTGCAATTCGAGGAGAATAGTATTTTCCAGTATTGCCTGGATTTAGTGTTGCTCCGGAAGGCGCGAACTTGTTCGTGTGGTGGTATCATGATTTAAAAAGCCGTAGCAGATCAATTGATGGATTTGTTCATCGCTGTGCTATATGTTTGAAGCGTGCTAGTATTAGAGATCTCTAATACCCTCGGTGGTAAGCTGATTATTTTAATATTTCGTAGGAACCTTTTTCGCTAGGTCGCATCTCTCCCTAACCCAGATTTTATATATCCACAACTACTGGATGTTGAAACAGCCGGTGAGAGCAGCAGCAGCCGGGACGGAGAATAGCCTCGTCTCAACAGTTCAGTGGTACCAGGATTGCAGAGACATCGCGTCATGGAAAATGGAGAAAATCACTTGTTTGCTGGGCGCAGAAGATGTTATCGTGCATGTCGATGAAACAGTGCTGGTAAAAAAGAAATACAACCGTGGTCGCCAGCGAGCAAACAATATTTGGGTAATAGGTTTGTATGACACCTTCCTCCGAAAGGGATTCGTCGAAAGGATAGAAGATAGAAAAGCAACCACTCTTATACCTATTATTACCAGATTTGTTAAGCGGGGGTCAATTATACACACCGACGAGTGGAAAGGTTACAATTCACTGTCATCTCTGGGATATATTCATCATAGAGTCAAACATTCAAGTGATTTTGTGAATCCCGTTACGAGGACACATACAAATTCTATTGAAGGTTTTTGGGGCAGGTTGAAAAATAGGATAAGGGCTATAAATGGATCTCAAAAAGATCTCATTTATAGTCATTTGAATGAATATATATACAGGATATGGTGTAAATTCTCCATTGACGGTCCCATGCTAAACTGGGAGATGCTTCTATCGCATGCTCGAGAAAGATATCCCATGTAACATTTTTATTATCTATTTTATGCTATTTTTGTATAAATATACATTTCTATTTGTCATATATGCCTCTTTAATGCGATTGGTCCGTTCAAGGTCGTTTGCTGATTGGTTCTTAGTGGTGTCTAAAGTTTAACTTTGCCAAAAATAGTTACAAAGGACAACGCTCTCGTATATGTTGCACAAAAACCTCCCTATTTCTCATAGGAGTCTTGATTCTTATGTCAAACCCAGTCCTGTAGATAAACTCATCGAGATAACTGTATAATATTGCATTTCTTGATCCATTCACAGATCTGATATGTTTTGTCGAAGACTCCAGACATTTACAATGATATCAGTGTCAGTTTCATCAAAAGGACTGAGAAAACCATTTGTATGGTTGACCACTCGATGAATATAGCCCAGATTCGATAACTGACTGTAACTACTCCATTCATGTGTATAAATAGTCGTCCCAGGCATCACTAGGCGCTGGATAACATGCAATAATACATCTACACTGCGGTTGGGGATCGCCTCAAAAAATTTTTTCTGGACGCTGGTCTCATATATCCCCAATACCTATTTCTGATTCACACTCAATCTCCTCCGATTATATTTTCTTATCAAAAGTACCGAAGGAATCTGTAAATTAAAAACGAACGATATAGGTTCTCGAATAGTCCGTTCTCCAAACAGTAATTAAAACAAGATCCGGGGAGAATTCGCAACGCAAAAGGTGTAGAACATCCACAATTACCTCTGGAAATAACAGTCACCTGATTCCTTGCTCAAAGTCGCATGTGCGTTCAAAGGTCGTTTCGGTTTGGGCTGATATTCTTTAGGGTCGCCGAATCTTCAGTAACAGAATTTCGCAGTCAAAGGCTCAGGTAAAGAGGCACTTTCCAGCGTACTCGCAAATCTACGGCGTATTCTCCATACACCCTAAGTCAATGGATACAGGCAAGCATTTAATAACCCGCCAGCTAGCTTGCAGGATGTCACTAAGGTCACAGGGAAAGATAGTCTTGGCAAAAACAGTTTACCAAGCGAAATTTCAACCAACATGCCGGATAAGTCCAACAGAAAAACTCTATGATGAATGATGACTTCCTGGTTGAAGAGTTTCTGAATGACTTGGTTTAACATAACAAATTCACTGGTAGTCAGGAAAAACTGGGTAAAGGTCATAGGGAGTAGTCTATTAGTTAGTGTGGGGCTCGTTGACCTTAATCTTCTGTAAAATTGTCCTATTCAGGTTTCCTCAGCAAGCTGAAAGTGCTCATATTGGATAGCGTCCTACTTCATTGTCTCTAAGACTTCTAACATTTATTAAATCATCACTATTATTTTCTGATAAGTTAGATCAACAAGGATGGAAACAAATTATCCGAAAGTTCAGATTAGTGGAATCTGGAAGTCAGTACCCAAAACATTGCAGTAACGCGCATAGCCGAAAATACAAAACAACATATTTCTTGAGATGACAAGTTTGTGAAGCATTGAAGGATAAAATCACTCAGGAATAATATCATTGGGAACTTAAACCCCTAGGCGCTCTTCATTTTAATCTGTGTGAATCCAGTGTACTTAAAGCGGAAAATGATTCCCCGAAATTATCGAACTAAGCAATCATCACTGAACATTGGATGCTCACCTTCACTGTTTAAGTCAACTTGTTTAGCTGAAGGCTTGCGGTCAAGCATCCATGCCATTTGGTACTCCATTGTGTTACGTTCATGCACGATCACTAGCCAGCTAAGCAATCATCTCACTTTCCGATTTGGTCCCGAAATATATCTCGTGGTTTGGACGATCAATTGTGGTCTTTTCCTTCGTCTTTTGTCAACGCGGAACGAATACTATAGAAGTTGTGGGTATTAGATCTTGCGTTAGTATACTCCGTACAATCCATGAACGTCAATGGCTTCAGCCTCTAAATAATTCATCCTCAATGGACCTTTCAACAGCCATCTATCTAAGCGTTTATATGAGGAAATCTTTCCAGTATTTTATTAAAAGTATTTTCGATCTCATTTACTGCAGACACCTAGAGGCATACGTAGGGACCAGCACGGACATTTAGGGGGAACTCCAATTACCAGTCTCCTTTCTAAAAC